AGGTTTCAGATTCACACTAGTCTCTCTCTTTCATCTGGACTATTAACTGACTCCGGATTCTTATCCAAATTCATGGTCTAAATTTGTAACCTACAGGCTGCATTTTTGACAAACATTTAGTTTCAAATGAATAAGTCTTTGATAACCCAACACTGTCAATCAACTAGACTTCAATTTTAATAAATAAATAAAATGAAAAGTCCTTGAAGTTTTGCTCTTTGGGGGAAAATTTATCAGCTCTGGCTTCGTGTTTATTCCTGCACTGTGCCTTCTCAGAGTGCTTCTTTCTTTCTGTGTTGACTGTTCCCTTGCTGTATTCACTATTCTAAGACACAGACTTTAGATGGGAAATTCCTGAGAGATCTCCCTCCTACCCCTCCTTGCTACTTGAATGTGACCTCAAGAGGTTTCCAATCTGTGCACTCTCCCTTCCACGAGGGACACGGTACCCAGGAAAGGTCCTCCCTGGCATTGATGGACAAAAAGTCACTGAATCCATAAAAAACTGATTCTTGTTGTTGCTGTTGTTGTTGCGGTACGCGGGCCTCTCACTGTTGTGGCCTCTCCCGTTGCGGAGCACAGGCTCCGGACGCGCAGGCTCAGCGGCCATGGCTCACGGGCCCAGCCGCTCCGCGGCACGTGGGATCCTCCCGGACCGGGGCACGAACCCGTGTCCCCTGCATTGGCGGGCGGACCCCCAACCACTGCGCCACCAGGGAAGCCCAAAAAACTGATTTTTGATAAGCAATGCTTTCAGAGAAAAATCTTGATCAAAGAGGAGAAATGTGAAAATTAATAAACAGAAACCTTATTTAACAGGAGACCAGAAGGGGGAGCGCCCACGGCCTACCGTGCAGCCTCAATTGCAGGCCCAACAGGAAGATTACTACTTACTACCCAGCAGGAGGAAGGAAGACTTTCTCCCTGCCCAGCAACAGCCCAGCCAATGAGAGACCATCACAGTTCAGCCAATGAAAAGCCACCACACTGCGAACTCCCAGTTTCCTCCAACTGACACTTAGTTTAGAACAGCCCCTCCCAACTCCCCCTTCTCCTCTATAAAAGAGTTTCTGCTCCCTTGTTCTCTGCACTTGCTTGTGGTTCACCTTAGACTGCTTGTTCTGAATTCCAGTTCTTTACTGTTCCCGAATAAACCCATGTTGCTGGTAAAGTAACTGGTTGTTTTATTATTTGCGATCAACAGCTCATGTGAGCATCTTTACAACAGCTCTACCAAGTCTTTGTCAGATAATTTCAACACCTGTGTCTTCTCATCCTTGGTACCTGCTGGTCAAGATCTTCATGGTTCTTCAAGTGCCACAGTTCTGGTTTCTAGTATTTTGAATACCACTCTGTGAGACTGGGGTCTTGCCTCCATCCTATGGAGAATGCTGGGGTTTTAGCTGCACCCCCAGTGGTGGGTCTGGGAATGGGCTGGCCCACTGTTGAGGGCGCTGGTTGGGTCAGGTCCACACAGGCCTGGGAGCAGGTCCAGGGGCTCATAAACACCTTTGCAGGTGGTTTTCCTGACCTTTCCAGGTCCCTAGCTCCCAGCCCCCTCCAGGGTCTCCCTTCCTGGCCCTTGAGCCATGTCCAATGAATACAGCACGTCTAGTCCACGACTGCCTTCCTGGGGTCCCCAGAAAGACCCTGGCCCTGTCTGGGTGACAGCTGCGTGGGGTGGGAGCAGCAGGAGGGTACCTCCACAGTGGCTTCGATGATCTCCCTCCTAATCCTGGTCTCTGGAGCCCCCTCCCTGGGAATTCAAGTGCGACTCTCTTCCC